GGGGGGGGGGACAACACGACCTCACATATCCAAGCAAGGGTTAGGGTTAGGTTAGCTTTCCATAATGCAAGTCTAAACTCTTTAAACTCATGATTAAATTAAATGCTGTACTTGCTGCACTTTTATTGTTTTAGTTTATTGATAGTGGTTGTATCGCTGATTATCTTAAAGAACTGTCTTACTGAAGTGGGCTCCTTTGTCTTTTTTCCCCACACCCCTTAAAAATCCTTCAGAAATGCCAATAGCTTCAGCACAACCAGATGGGCTTCATGGTCTGGAAGCCACCAGGATGCATGGGGATTTATTTATTTATTTCGGTTGGAATGGCTGCCCACTCGTCCTACGAGTCTTTAAAAATACCACTGAAATCATTTAAAAACATTGTGCTGGAGGCAACTCACTTTCAAAATTTTAAAAATGGACCAAGATTCTAGGACAATGGAATTAATTGTGTGCGGGACAGGTTGGAAGTGAGTGGACTCTGCAAATCATTAGATTGCATTTAGTTCAAATGTTTAAAATTGCTTTCCCATCCCAACATTATTCTTTTCTTCCCCCCAGCTATGTTCCTACTGCTCCCAATCCAGAACCTTTAAGTCCCAGAGCAAAGTGAATCTACATGCTTCGCTACTTTCACTTAAAAAATTGCATGATTTCATTGCTTTTTTTTATTGAATTGATTTTGATGTTTGATTTGATTTGATCGATTTGATGTTCGGGTTATTCGAGGGACCGCCTCTCCCTGATTTCATCTGCCTGTCCCACTAGATCTAACAGAGCGGGCACGTTATGGGTTCCATCATGTACGGGGCTACGTTTGGCGGGCCCTGGGTGGCGGGCCTTCTCTGCTGTGGCGCCCACATTGTGGAACCTTCTCCCCCCAGAGATGAGATCAGCCTCATCACTCCTGAGTTTTCAAAGGTCCCTTAAGACCTGGTTGTGTCAGCAGACTTGGGGACCCCAGGGGACAGGTGAACTAGTGAGGGGGCTCTATTATTAACATCCTTTCACCTATTATTTTCCTTTTTCTGTTTTAGTTCTGTTTTTATACTTTTTAATGTTTTTAATAATTATTACATAAGGGTTTTATGTAACAATTGTTTATATATTTATTGTTTTATTGGACTGTTGTACGTGGCCATATAAATTTGATTAATAAATAAATAAGTAAAATTGCAACAGGTGAATCCAGTTCTTGCGATTGCTCCAGTTTGGTTTAGTTTTTTAAAGGGTATTCAAGAGATTGGCCTTTTCAAATGAGAGAAAACTAAATTGTAAGGCATTGTAAAAAATGGGTGGAAGCCCTAAATGCAGGGAAATCCTTGCAAGCGAGTGGCTTTGTTTTGGAAACACAATATAACCAAGGTAGATGAAGCACGCAAGGAACTTGGATATGAAAAGCAATACACGATTTACCATAACCACCTTACCTTATCGTTCTCCGTCACATTATCAGAAATGGCATCGGTTTGCTGCAGGAGCACCGGCAGATGGAATCTCATCACCGGCTCTGGGCTGACGCTACTGATGGTAAAGTGCTGTAGAAAACTTTGAAGGAATTAAGTGGGGTCAGACTTCATTTGTCCTCACATTCAGTATACTTGTTTTTTTGGAGATGTTTTGGAGGGAAACCCTCTGAAGGTCTACTTTATGGCCATGGAGGCCAGCCAAGATGGAGCTGGACTATCTGAGAACACTTGGAGTTCTAATGGCTCTGTCCAACCCAAAGATGGAGGGATCTAGCCAATCCTGGCTGATCACAAGAAGCTTGTCTGAGCACACATCATTAGTATTTGAATGGGAGATGACCTGGGAATCCCAAAGTTGCAGAACGGATGGGGAAATTAGAAAGCATCTTGAAAGCAGATAACGGCAAAGCACCTCCATGTAGTTTGCAAAAAAACTACTTGGGCATGTGCATGAAGTCACCAGGAGTCAACTCAACTAAAGACTTTACTTTGTACAAAACCAGAAAATGCCCACCCACTCAGTGAAAGAGACATTCACATAGCACAGGCAGGCAGCTTGTTCCTAGCTACGGCTTCCAAGCATCCCCGGAAAGTAAGATCAACTGCAAGGATGCTGGGAATTGTAGCTGAACAATGCCTGGAAGGCCACAGATGATCTGCTCATCATACAATTAAAAGTGACATGGCTGGACCTCCATGGGACCATCTGGTTTGTGCTCAGAATTGCACAAGAGCAATTGTGGAAAGCCCTCACCTGCCCAGATCTGGGAGGCTAGTAAGCAGTCTTAGTTGGCTCCATCTTTCCCCAGTGGGACAGGATAAGACATCAAAGAGCTTCTGCATGCTGGAATGCCTAGGAGGAGGAAGGAAACTAATGAATTGTTTGGCCCTTACAGCGCACATCAACACAAAACTGTAAAGCCACAAGCAGCCCCCAATGCTTTAAACACCAACTGACAGCACGGGGCAAGTGTTTGAGGCTTTCCCACTGCACCCTGCTCCACAGAACATCAATTCTTTATCCCAACTGTTTCCCGACTGTCCTCCCGGCTCCCTTTCTCCTCAATGCTGCTTCCTACTCTCAGCCCCTTCAAAACCACAATGACGGTCCCACCAGAATGAGCCATCTCAGGTTTGACTGAAGCCTGATCCCTAGCAGGTGACTGCTGGTTCAGGAGAACTGATTTTCCACCATTCCAGAGTCAGGAGGCAGATCTTAATCAAAAACCCCAAAACAAATTCCTCGTCTAAAACTTCCCCCTCCTCTTTTTAGAATGGCTGGTTGCAAAGGACGGTAGAGTTCTGATATTTTCGGCAGATGCCATGTTTTGATTGGTGCCCTTTGCCCCTGAATGTCTCCCACACAATCATGAAAAAATACACTGTCATGCCTTGCTTCCACCTCTTCTTTAAATTATCTCTGTTCATCTCTGGAAAGAAGGCAAAGACAAGGGGGGGGTGAAAACCAAGTGGCATTTTGCTGATGTGACACAGCGTAGGCTGGGCTGAGCCTTTTCCTTGGAGGGGAAGGGGAAACGGAGCCAACAAACAGTTAAAGGGGGCCTAAAGTAAATGCAAACGCCAGGACAAAAGAAAAGTGATCCAGCCCAAAAGTTCATCACTGTCGGATGCTTTTTGACGTAAAAAAGGAACGTGAGACTAAAGATGCATTTGGGCTCGTTGGGAACTGGGGCGTCCATGTGTTTGTCAAAAGAGTCAATTTAGCAGCCGTGTGATCAATGCAGCAGGGCTTTGATCACATGGTTGCAGTCATCATCTTGAGTATGGCAACTCTTTAAGAAATCATGTGAAAGATATTCCTCTAGAACAGTGTTTCTCAACCTTGGCTGCTTGAAGATGTGTGGACTTCAACTCCCAGAATTCCTCAGCCAGCAAGGCTGGCTGGG